TTAATTTGTAAAACATTATATTCTCAAAATTCAAAATAAAACTCACACAATTCCTGAAAAATTCTAATATACACCCCTTTAAAAATGATGTACGATATGCACTCCTGGTTATGTTGTTTTCTTATTTAATTATGATATTATTTTAATTATGACTTATGAATTTTTTAGAGCATCTCCAACGGTGTATATATTTTTTTTCCCCACTAAATTTGAGTAAAAACTTTATTTGATATCAAGTGCTCCAACGGAGTATTTTAAACTTTTATAAAACGTCAGTCGACCGGGCAAACGACCGAGCGGATGTTCGGCCGGTCGATCGGCCAGTATAATTTTTTCACAAATTTTTGCAAATAAGTGGTTATTCGAGGAACATCCAGTAGTGAAAATATAACGGTTATGAACAATAAAATGATCAAAGGTCACAGACATCCTAAATTTGGTGAAAGATATTTAATATCCTCGATTTAATACACATTTGATGAAATCATTGGAGTAGGAAAAATAATCAATGTGTTTGGTTTCAGTTTTCTAAATTCAGTTTTCTGAAAATTGAGTTTTTTGTTTTTCATATTTTTTTATTTTTAGTGAATATTTTTATAATTTTAAGCAATTTGTTTACTTTTTTAGATGCACCTTACTGAGATGTATTTAAATAGTAAAATATATGTGAAAAATATTTTTAAAATTTAATAAATACACAAAAATATATTGAATTTTTGTATTTTTAGTATTTAGTGATTTTTTAAAAATATTTTTTCACAAATATTATACTTTTTAAGTGTATTTATATTAGGTGTTCTAAAAATTAAAAAAATGTTTAAAATATTAAAAAAATTCAGTGAAAACAAAAAAAATACTAAAAATGAAAAAGTAAAATTTTTTAAAAAGTGAATTCCGAAAACTGAAATCAAACAGAGTGAATAGTTTTTTTTATCAAATTTAAATTTGATGAAAGAATTGACGAACCATTAAAAATGATCTTCATTCATTAATTCATGGCATCATTTAGTTATTGATATATATATATTTTTAATTATATACTCAAAAATTAAAATTATATATATATACATATATTTATACTTTAAATTATAAATACATATTTCCCCACATCCTTTCAAAAGTCCAAAACAATTACTATTAGAGCAGATGCTCAGAGTTAGATTTGGTCATCTGGGCCCCCCCCTCTCATACATGTTAAATCTCCACCGTCGCGTGTTACCAGTCTCAACCTCTATATATTCTCCTCTCTCACCCCATTGTGTCGCCAACTTCTGTCTTGCTTTTTATTTTTTTTCCCATCACCCCCCCAAACACCAACTTCCTTCTCTCTCTCTCTTAAAGTTCCCAAATTTTCAAGTTGTCATCAATCACTTCAATGATTGCTTAGAGGTCATGTCATGGGAGGTTAGTTCTCTGTCATCATCTCATTTCTCTTCTCTCTCTCTCTCTCATTTGTGCCATGGCATTATTATATTTGTTACTGATCTACCAAAACTCTTATGCATTCATTTACAGAAACAAACTTCTCTCTTTCTTTTTTGATTAAATAAAAAACTGAAAAATCCTGTTCTCTAACATGAAATTATGATTTATTTTTTTTCCTCTATTTTTTTTTTAAAAATGTTGTTTGGGATTTTTAGGGTAAGTGTCAAGGAGAAGCAGAAGAGTGTACTCTTGAAGGAAGTGTTGATTGCAAGGCCAACCGGCAATACGAGAAAGAACTGGCAAATGGGTTGCTGGAATTATCATCTCTGTAAGTCCTATATACCAATTTTATTTTTGTTTTTTATTTCTTTTTATTTAATTTTATTTAACGAAAGTTCTGATATCTTAGTCTACTTATCTTCATAAATTAATTGTTTGGGAAGATAGGGTACTCTGTTTATCTATGCATTATATATATATATATTATTAATTGACATACCTGCTCTCTAGATTTTCATTTTCATTTTTCATTCTTCATTTTCAGTTTGAGACTCTTTTCATGTTTTTTTTATTAGAATCTTTAACAGTACTATTTCATATGGAATCTTCCTCCTTCTTCTTCTTCTCTTCTTCTTCTTCTTCTTTTTTTTCTTTTTTTTTCTCCAGGAATCTTTACTTAGTACATTCTACACACATGATCATAGTGGAATCTAGTGAGATAGTTATGTTTTCTTCACCTTTCTTTTTCTTTTTCTTTTTCTTTTTCGTTTGTGTTTTTTATTTTTATTTTTTGGGTTTTGAGAAGATCAAACAATTTTTCTTCCATTAATTCCATGATAGTTATTATTGACGCATTTTCTTATCTGGACTTACCTTAACGCGGAGGAATATATATATAGTATATATAATATATTAGTTCTTAAATAATAATATGCGTATAAATTTACAATCATGGTATCGATTGATATCATAATTTAAAAAAAAAAAAATTAAGATAAAAAAAGAGCCAAATTTTTGTTTAGGATTATTGTCTAACTGCAAGAATATTTGTTTCCAAAGTACAAAACGACAAGAACAGAATGAAGGAGAGAAAATGAAATAAGAAAAAAGAAATAAAAATATTTTGGAGAAAAGAGAGTATTAATTTTTTGTTTTGTTGTTTGTTGTTGTTGTTGGGGTTGGGGGGGGAGTGATATTATCCACTACAGAAGTGGGGGGGAAAATGACAATTGAAGAAGGGGAACGAGTGTTCGAAATTTGCAGTCATTAATGTAACATCATGTGTTGGATCTCTGGTATGGTCATCTCTAAAGTAGTGGAGGCATTTTATTTATTAAATATTATTATAAGTATATATATTTATATTTTGCCTACACATATTTAAATGTTTTTTACTCTAACATGCTCTTTATTTTAGCTATTTTATCCAAATGCTATAATTTATAGATGTCAGTCAACAACAAAGATGGAGGAAATGATTCTAATGCTGAATACATTTTGCCTAGTGTTTGAAGGCTAGCTACATGTAGTTAGTGAATATGAAGTTGGCAACCAAATGCCTAATCTTATGCCTAGGCTGGCAATTGGAATTGAAAAAAGTGACATGCACACTAGGCAATTTTAACTAAAAGTTTATAGTGCGCTAGTGCATTGGAATGCTCTTACATAAACCTATATGTGTCCGGTTTGTGTTTTATGAATTAACTTTTTTAAAATTTAAATTTATTTATTTTTAATAATATTTTAAATTTTAATATATATTTTTTTTTTTTTTTAGATGCAGCCTTTACGTTAGATATTATAAATAAAAAATTATAAAAAAAATATTTTTAAAAATTATAAATAATATAAAAAGTACTTGAATTTTTTTTTTTATTATAGGTGAGAAGAGACGTGGAAGAGCACGAGTGCACGCGTCGTATGTTACAGCTTTATCATGGAATTCTTGTTCTATTAGTTTGTTAACAATGATCAATTATTGATTTTAACTCATATTGTTATTGGTTAACATATTTTATTTATGATGTGTTTAATATGTTTGGTAGGATTTATTTCCAGCTTATTTGCAAGCTTTTAGTTTAATTTAAGTTATTTTGATGTTGTTTGGTTTAGCTTAACAATTACAATTGGATAGTTGTTGTAAGTCAAAAATCAACTTTCTTTGAGTGAGGGCAGCGAGAGAACTTAATTAATTAAAATAAGTCAGCGTATGATGCTTTGTGATATATATCAGAGACTATAAGCTGTTAAGGTATACAGTATATAGATCATTTCCCACAGCTCTAATCATCAAGGAAGCGTTCTTTGTGTTACGTAAAAATTTAAAAATGAATTATTTTAAATTTGTAAGTTATTAAATAAATTTTGAATATTTATTACTTGAACTCGACTCTAAGTTATAAATGAGGGTA